ATGTGAATGAGCAGTTCTCTGATGAATTTATCATGGTCTCAGAATTGGCCACTGCATACACTAGACCTCATTCCCTTGCTTATATGAGAAACATTATTTTTATATGTGTATTTATTGTTTATTGTTAAACATAGTGGATGAATACAAAAGTAAACAAAAGAAAGGAGCTACATCATCAAATTTTCAGTTCTGCAAGATGCATAAATGACCCTGATGTTCTATGTAAGGTTAAAATCTTCTTGAATTTCAAGTACTTATAGCTTTACAAGTGTTGACAATCAGACCTATGTTCTTGCAACATTTCTGACTGGGAATGACCTCAGAAATAAGATTCTGAAGTATTAGCATAAAGTGAATGGACAACTTGTGGAAGCTAACCGAAGTTATAACTTTGTGACTTGCTTGATGTAATGTTCCCTGACTTCAAGCATAGTTTTAAGTGAACGAGAAGTGAGAGTCTGGGCACATATTGGAGAATGTTTCGTGGTGTTAGCATTCACTATCATTCTTTGATTCAGGACCACCCTTCTTTCATGTGACTCTACACCTGAAGGCAGAGTTTGAGAGTGACATATACCCCCGTGGCATGCCACATCTGTTTCTGCTGTGACCACAAGCAGCATGTTGATGTTTGTTTGTAGTTTTGATTGCGATGGACCGTGTCAGGTGACTTCTGCTTGCTCATAGCGCACACAGGGCATGGGAGAAATGTTGGATGCAAGATCCCTTCGAGACCCAGGAAGTTGGCAATCCAAGAACAGCATTCGTGCTCCACCACACCACATGGCAGCAATGCGGCATGGTATGGCTCACTAAGCCTACTCTTGTTTTGACACCTTTTTTTCTGGTGTATGTAATTTAAGGAATGTAATTCCAGATGCTTTAATACTTCCAAAGAAATGATTAGAAAACCAGAGCTGGGTACTAGAATTACTCAATAAATAAAAGAAAGAAACACATTGATTCTTATTTGTACTATACTGATTTTTCAGTGCAGAACTGAAATTTCTGGAAGTGTTCCAAAATATTGACCATTTTACTTGAATTTGGTTGTCTTTAAGGTACTTAGACCAGAAGTACCTGTGCATTTACATTTTCAGTTTATCTATGTGACTAATATTTTTATGATATGGCATGGTGTTTTGTGCTATTGTAAGGAGCTCTGTAAAAAGAGAAGTGTATTTTTTAGTTTACCTTATTTTTAATTACCATTTATTGCATGAATTGTAAGTTTATTCTTTTTATGTTATTGGCTGTGGGCTAGACAGTTTTATTATTTTGGATAGGGACAAGGATTTTTCTCATCATCATCATCACGTCAAGCCTGATTATGAAATGCACCCAGCCTTCTGTCCTCCTTAGCCTGAAGTGTGAAACTGACTACTCTAATCCATCAAATACAGAGTTCCAGAATATCTAGATCTTTATTTACATGACTTGATGGCAACTCTACTTCTATTATTATTATTGTTATAAATGAAAGGTAGTTTTTAAATTCTCTAGTGCTTTAGAAGTGTAATTTGAAATGTTTGATTATCTCTGATTTGGCCAGAGCAAAAACATGCACATTATTATGCTCCTTGCTGTTACAACATTTTCTTCAGAATTCTTGTGTTGGCAGGCAAAACCAGCCAAGAAGATGTGTGTTATGTGGTTGCCAAGTACGACTATGCAGCTCAGGGAGCGCAGGAACTGGACCTTCGTAAGAATGAGCGGTACCTCTTGCTGGATGACTCAAAACATTGGTGGCGTGTGCAGAATGCTCGCAACCAGGCAGGCTATGTTCCCAGCAACTATGTCAAAAAGGAAAAACCTTCCCTGTTTGACAGGTAATGTATCAGCAACACAGTGTTTTGACATATTTACCTATGTGTCTGTAATTATACTAGCAAGGTTTAAAATAAATATATTTTCTTGTATGTTGACATAAATTTGATATTTATCGATCAGATCTGAATTTTGTGTCAGGTTAGGCTGGTTTGTATTATTTTAGTTTAAGTTATTTTATGTTTGCAGGAAATCTCACAGTTTGTGATGTCATATAGCTGTACACTAATTTACTTGGGTATATTGTGACTGTGTAATATTTTATGGCTTTTCAGTCTAATGCTTCATTGGAAACCTCAGGCAAGGAATCATCTTCCTTGCTGAGGTTCCTTAGGTCAATTTTTTTGGTTTTCGAATTAGTTTAAATCTGACAATTGCAGTGGCTAATTGCAGGTGTCAACACATTAAACAAAACTGTAATTAATGTAATCAATATTTTTGTAGTGACATTTTCTCTGAACCAGGTTTAACACTTACACTGCCATAACTTTGTTTCCAGGGGAACTTGTAAGTTCTTCCAAATCCCTCCAGGCAAAAGCCAAAATTGTGCCTTCACAGGAGTCTGATCATTTCCATATGAATGCTACTGTTTAAACCATAACCCAATAACAATTATATACTGCTGTACACAAATGAAATCAGAAGCAGGTGTGTCCCCATGTAACAGACTCTCCCAGTTTCCCATGTCACTTGAGTCAGGGTCACCCCAGGTGCTAGGCCGCTGCTCTTGCCAGTTGTACATAAGCTGTGTGGGTGCAAACATGATGTGTTAACAAGCAGAATGTGTGCACATTCTTGAACCTTACCTTATATAAAAATTATTTGATGTTAATGAAGTATTTAGCAGAATATTTAGAGGTCAGAACGCTAGCCTTGTAATCCTGTGGTCTTGGGTTCGATTCCCGGCGGTGCCCAAATTTATAACTTGTGTTGGGCAAGACCGTGGTCTAGGCAACACAAGAGTTTTCCTCCGGGGGCTTCCCCGGTTTCTCCGTGGCATCCCAACAATTACCCCATTCACACACAGAAGAAGGCAATGGCAAACCACTTCTGGATCATCTGCCAAGAACGTATATGAACAGGTCCCAGTCCGAGAAAAGGATGGAAGGATCCTGTTCATATGGACCTGTCGTCAGACAGAACACTAAATAAATAAAATAAAATCCTGAAAAGGATGTACCAAATAAGATAACAATACACTTGTAACAACATTTTGGGATGTACAACGTGTTTGTGATAAGAAGCATATGCAGTGTTGGGCAGCATTGACAGGTGAGATGGTTTCCAGTGTTAAAGAAACACTAGCATGATCACTGTAGAGATCTTTGAGAAGATTGCTTTACTGTAAGAGTTCTATGGTGAGCACATTGTTGGGCGTGGCCTTTGGGCACCACAATCTCCAGACCTTGCCCAACCAGACTTTTTTCTTTGGGAATTTCTCAATGGAAAAGCTTATTCAAATTACCCACAATACAATATTAAGCAAGTTGTCACCAGAATCGACGTAGAACCACTTTGCAAAGTTGTACAAAATATACTAAAAATAGTGGCTGCTTTTCTTTAAGAACATGGTGGACATTTTTAGCATCTGCTATAAAGCTGTTCTTTTACTTCTTCCTAACGTTAAAAATTAAAGAACTAGTTTGTCTTCATATATTCATGACAGCAAAGCTTACAAATAGCATTGTAGCATTTAGAACACACTGTATATAAACTCTGTAAGTAAAACAGCTTAATGAGAGTGAGCTAAAGGGGAATAGGATGAAACACAAAACATGGGTGGATCTCAGTTTTATAGCCATAGCCTGTGTTGCAGTATCAAGAAGAAAGTGAAGAAGGGCTCAGGCTCTAAGACTCTCCCCTCCAGCAACTCTCCTTCCAGAGCAGTCGAGTCTCCAACAATGGGACGTCGGCTGCCTGCAGACCCTGTGGAGGCAATTGGGACAGCGGTTGTCAAGTATAACTATCAGGTAGAAGAACTTTTACCACACATATCTGCTCCATGCAGTTAGGTGAATGTAAAATAGTTCTCAGTTTGCGAATTGTGAAAAACTGGGTTCATATTCATATTGTTATATCTCATTTTCACATAATATACTGACTTCATAACCTAACTTATGGTTTTGCCTTTCTACACCCTCAGTTTGCTTCCTCTGATGTCATAGAGTGTTGATTGCCACTTTTTATCTGAATTCTTGTTATCTTCTACATACTGCATATTAACTGGAAGAATTCCTGAGTAGTCTGAAGTTTCTGTGCAATCTACAGAGTTGTCATTGTCATCACAGATGTCTGCCATTACAACTTGTCTGATCTAGTTCAGTGTACAGTCCAGCCTTCAGACCCTAGTATACTCTTTTTCCCTCTGTCTCGCAAATGACTTGCTTTTGCTAAGTTTTATAGCCAAAATGTTATATGCATTTCTTGCTGACACATGTCCACAGGCTCAACAAGCAGATGAACTGTCGCTGGTGAAAGGTACCCGGATCCTGATCCTGGAGAAAAGTAATGATGGGTGGTGGCGGGGGCAGAGCAATACCGCAACTGGCTGGTTTCCCAGCAATTATACGCAAGAAGAGGGTGACAGTGATGATACACTCCATACTTATGCCATGGCAGAGAATGTGTTGGACATTGTTGTGGCGCTCTATTCCTTCTCATCCAATAATGATCAGGAGTTGGCTTTTGAGAAGGGTGATCGCTTAGAGATATTAGACCGGCCGCCTGCAGATCCTGAATGGTACAAGGCTCGTAATGGGCAAGGTCAAGTCGGGCTTGTCCCACGTAACTACCTGCAGGTGAGTACAGCTGCATTCTCCTAATTTATTAGACCAAAAGATTATAATCAAAATAAATAATTATTTTCAAATGATAAAATATGAACTTGTTCAGTTTTTTGTTGTTAATACAAATTTTACTTCTGATTAGTTCTTTCCCATTAATATCGTTTATGTTCATCTCCATGGTATATTCTGAAGCATTTTAGTTATCTAGGATGTAATCTAGCCAGTATAGCTCAGCTAGTTTAGAGACTGGCTACGGACTGGACTACTGGGGTTTGATCCCCGATGGGGGCAGAAGATTTTTCCTCTAGCCTCTGCGTCCAGACCAGTTCTGGGGCCCACCCAGTCTCCTATCCAGTGGGTACCAGGGTCCTTTCTCAGAGGTAAAGCACGGCCAGGGCGTAATGATGACCACTCACCCGCATTTAGTGCTGAGGTCAAGAATGAGTAGGAGCTATACCTCCTCTCCCCTCAAGCATCATGGCCTATAGTGGGGCAGCTTTACTTAAGAATGTAATCTAGTGTATGTATCAGAAGAAGAGATGCAAGCATAAGATAATTACATCTAAATCTAGGGTGCCATTATCAGCATTTGCCTCAAGTCATGTGATGGTTCAAATTTCTGAAGCACTTGGACTAATATTATATTTTTTTATTCCATGCGCCTTCATACTATAGCAGCTTAAACTTTAGATCATCTGAAATTGTAATTTGCAACATTAAACGAATCCAACTCCATTAAAATGGCACAGCTAATGTTAATAATTATAAGAACAGTTTGTACCAGGCACAGGCTGAACAGATAATTTATACAGACTATAATTTCATATAATTGAGTGTGAAGTGAACCAAGTGTACCACATTGATGAATTCGTGGTGATGATGGATTGATTGGCTGAAAAACATATTTATAATCATGAAATGTGAAGTGGTTGCAGATAGGGATGTGATTATAATTTTAATTTTAGACTGTCTAATGTTTGACTTAAGATAGTGCACTTGGACTGTGAAGCATGGAATATGGAGTGATGATAAAAGATTTATATCACCTGGGATGCATATTATGATGTGGATGGCAAAAGAAAACTAAGAAATACTAACAGAATTTGTAGTTTCACTAACCAGCAGATTTTGTGTAGAACTATAGAAGAAACACAAATGGTAATTTAGAATGATCTATCCCAAAAGTCATCCTGAAATATTTTATAGGTTGAAGACATAAGACCTCTGAAAAAATGGAAATATTCTGTTGTGGTATCAGTATTGGCCCAGATAGGTTCCATACTTAGAAATATGATGATAATGGGAATATTTTAAGAAATATTCCAAATTGTAATTAGTCTATTGTGGTTTCTGCAAAGTGAGCATCTAATTGCTTCTCTTTTTATATTCATAGTATTCATTTGTACTTAAATATCATTATGTCTTTTTACTTTCTATGACTGAGATTTTATTAAAAGGATAGTTTTTTAATCTTTCAATCTAATGGCTGTTGCTGCATTTGAAGAATATTGTTTTCCATTAAATGTTTAATGAAGCAGAACTTATTAATTATAAAGGATGAGTTTCTGTGTTGTATGCATTTTTGGAAATTTGCATTGTGAATGCACTTTATGTACCTACAGCCGATACTAGTACGTTAAAATGTTGCCCATGCGTATCGACTCTTTCCTCTTTGCCCAGGAATTGAGCGAGTACTTGACTCAGCCATACCGAAACCGTGATGGTGGTGGCGAAAGACAAGACTCGCTAGACCGACGACAAGACGGAAGTGGATCCAGCATTGGGCGTTCACTAGACCGTCCACATTTGGTGGGTAAGGCATGGTACTATGGCACTATCACAAGAGCGCAGTGTGACAATCTTCTGAACCAGCATGGTCACGATGGTGACTTCCTCATCAGAGACAGTGAAACAAATGTGAGTTATCTTCAACAGCTCTGATAATGATATTGGAATGCTTGATACATGACCACAGTACCAAGGGCAACTGTTTATTTCAGATGGGTGACTACTCAGTGTCATTGAAGGCCCCTGGGCGCAACAAGCACTTCCGGGTCCATGTGGAAGGAGCGCTGTACTGCATTGGTCAGCGTAAGTTCCATACACTAGATCAGTTGGTGGATCACTACCAGCGTGCTCCCATCTACACCAACAAGCAAGGGGAGAAACTTTATCTTGTACGACCCCTCCCCAAGTCTGCCAACAGCTGCTAAGTGCGCCCACCTTTGTCTCCTGGAAGGACTGAGGTCAAACAAATTGCATGTCAGTAATCATTCCTAGTTTGCTATAATTCACTTTTCTTGAGGGTCACACTGTGACTGTGGAAGTCAGATGTTGCTCTCTATGGCCTTCTTCCTGGACAGACAATGAACATATCTTGTTTTTAAAATGTTTGTGTTCCTGAGGCTGCTGCATTTGGGTTGAATTGTAGTCATTAACCTGTATCTCTGGAAGGTTTCCACAGCATCATTGAATCAGATATCACGAATATAAGAAATTATTTGTATAGTACAGTTTATCTGAAGACACCTGCCACTGAAATGGCAGTGAATATGCATCTGGAGGTCTGAGTATTTTTGGAAAGCAAACCTCGTGAATGGTGCAATTATAAATATTGTTTTGAAATTGAAACCTGTAAACCTGCTTGTATAATTAAGAACATATTAGAAAATGAAATTCTTCAAAATTTCATATTACTACTACTAATAATTTGGGCAGTCAGTCAGTTTCAATGGGTATATGATTTTTATTGCTTTCCCTGACATTTTGTCTGGGTAGTTACATTGTTCCCATTAGATAGTGAAAGCAATACATGGCTTACTCATTTGGTTGTAGGTTTTAAATGTTGCCTTAATAATAGTAATGATAGTAATAATAATAAATTATTGTAGATTATCATTTCACTCTTCATGAAATGTAGCAATGCCCTGCTGTTGTCAAATATTCACATAATCAGTCTAGTTGGTACAAAACACTTTTAACAGTTTTTTTTTATCACAGTGTTGCTATTAATGACGTATGCTCTTTTTTGCAAAGTACATATGCCTAGAATTATATGTATTTAGAAAAGGAAGGGTGACTACAGATCTACTTTTTGGAATAATACAGTTGACTGAGAAGAACTAGGAATATGGGAAAGAAATTAGTGATGATATTTGTAGATTATAAAAAAGGTGTTGGTGTGAGAAGAGAAGAGATATGGAAAATTTGTGGAAAACTACGAATTTCAACAATCTTTTGAGAAAAGAGAAACATATGTGTGAAAAGACTCGGTTGTGTTAAGGCAAATAAGAGATGGTCATTGTGGTTTGATACCAGATTGGAAGTCAGACACGGAAATGTATTGTCATCAGTATTGTCTTATTTTGTAATGATCGAATCTGTAACACAACCAGAGAAAAAATAAAATATTTAAAAGCTTTTATATATTCAGATGATATCAAGATATGATATATGCTATTATATGGGATGAAGATATGAAGGAACTTGAGAGAATGCTAAGCAATATGGACTGTAAATAAACCTAGAGAAGACAGTGGTGTTAAAATTCTTGAAGAGAATAAAAAGAAAATAGTCAAAATAAATTTAAAAAAGATAAAAGAAGTAGCAAAAGTTAGGATTTGAGATTTTCATGGCAGTGAGTCTGAAGATGGTTGTCTTCTGGTTCGTTCCACCGTGTAGTGTGGTATAAGTTTTCCGTTTCAAAGGTCTACACTGCCTCCATCATCAGGGTGGTGATCTCCATGATGATAGAGGCATCGAGGACCTCGGAAACAACGGTAAACTTCTACCAGACTACACGGTGCAATGACCCAGAAGACAGCCATCTTCAGGAAGATAAAGTTATCTGCTTCAGAAGTGTGGTGGACAAAAATGGTTAGACCCAGAATGAGATGAAAAATTAGAAAAGATTCAAAATTTTGTCATGTAGCTTAGAGTTTGTAGAACAGACAGGTATAAAACATAAAATTACAAAATATAATGTGTACTTGAATAAGATACTATTATATGGAACAGAGGCATGGAAATGTACTAAGAGAGGGGAAAGTAAACTACAGGCATTTGAGATAAAATTCCTGAGGGCAGTAGTGAGGAAAACCAAAAGAGATAGAAATGGATAAAAACACACATTAGAGGAGAGCTGAGGATGGAGGAAATACAGAACCAAATGATGAGAAGTGTGTTTGAAGAATGGATGAGCACAGGACACCAAGAAGATCATTAGAAATGAAAATGAGTGGATGAAGACCCAGGGGCACACCACACACTATGGATAGACCAAGTTAAGAGAGCTGTACAGAGGGGAGGGCAGATGAAATGCAAAAATGTGAAGACAGACACAGTAGGAGACTGCTACACTAAAGTTGACACACAAGTGACTTAAGGTAGAAGAAAAAAACCAAGCTTAGAAGCAATGGATGTTTTGAACATGCTTAATTATATTGACAGAAAATAACTTGAGAAAAAGTTGGATGAGTGAGACAGTTGAAGGTACACCAGGGCTTCATTCTGTTTGGAATAAATTCAGTAGGTAAGTTGTGTATCTCCATTTCTTCATGCAAGACTAAATCTGTGGTCTCAAGTTAATTATAGAATAGATGGACATGGTTCAGACCATGGTTATATATTGTCTGTACACTTAACTTATAGTCTGTAATGTAGCTGGATGGCCCGCATTATCCGTTATCCCATCATACTATATCTTGCAACACTGTGTCATAAGACTAACAGTCTTTTCTAAATGTTAGATAAGCCATAGCAGTGTGATATCTTGCATTGTCTGGGTATGCCTTCTTGTCAGAAACGAATTACAGTATGGAGGAGACCATGTCAGAAATGCAAATAATGCATTAGATATTGTTGCCATTATCTTCGTGTGTTGAATGAGTACGATTTAATGAAAATCCACATTAAGGAGAAAGTCATGAATATTCATAGCAGTAGAGATGATGACTTTAAAGCCATTAAACAGTCAAGAACAGGGGGACATGACAGGGAAACTGTGACTCTGGTGTTAACTGTTTGCTGCTATTTTATTCTGAAACATGCCAATGTAAATATAGGGGTACCTTAAGATGTAACAGATCAGTTTCTGATGCCAGACCCTTCCCTTTCTCATGTTTCCATCTGTTTGTCACTTGCCTGGCCTCATTTTAATGCATATGGTGTACTGAACATATACACATCAAGTGGAAGGCCTTATCAAATTAAGCAAACATCAGTTGCCAGCCTGCACTCTTCTGGCATGGTTTCCAAATGTCAGGAAAGTCAGAATTTTTTTTGGATATATCATGCTAGTCAGGATGATAGCAAGACTTAACTTTTGAGACACTTCTGATTAATGACTGATATATATGTTCATAAGACAGACAGCAGCATGTGCCATTTTCAACTACAAAATAAATTACAAGTAAATGACAGGAGCAAAAATTATGCCAATATTAGACTTTTTCTATTTAGAAGAATTTGAAAAGAGCGAAGCCTGATGGTTTCTTGCAAAGAAAATCAAATTATCTCCTTGTAAAACTTCTAAGGTTTTGTAGTTTTTCTGCTCCACTGAGAACAAGGGACATCCCATTATCCTGACCCTAGCCTAAAACTTTAGTGAGAATGTGTAACCATCCAGAATTTTGGTTCACCTCCACTCTCCTCCTCCTCCTCCAAATGATGTGATATGTTCATGACTTGGTGTCAAGTTCATGTTTTGTGATAACAGGTTCACAAACATTTTAAAATATTATAGAACTTCATGTACAATACAAATTTAACTAGTTCCTTTATTGGCATACAGCTCTGTGTCATACAAATTTCTTTCTCTTTATCTCCTGTATTATAATCTATTTGTTTATTGTTTTGTTTGGAAAATAGACATGCAACCCCATGAACACAAGTTCAGTTTCTTGGAAGCTGGCCTAATATTGCCATGCATTATGTGGTAGAATCAGCAAGATTTGTAAGTGCTTCACATTGCATTTTGATGGTATGTGATTTACAGCTTGGCGTTTTCAGAGGCCTAGTGCAGCAATGGTGAGGACAGTATGTTAATGGGTGTTGATGTCTTAAGAAATTGTAAACATTTCCTGAATCATGATTCTGAACTCGAACTTGTGGTGTGGGGTCTGTAAATTAATTTTCTTCTTTTTGATGTTGTGACATTTGTACAGTATTCATGCAGGAAGTTGTGATAAGACTGTTTATGCTTCAAGACATCCATCCCAGAGAGAGCAAGAAGGAGATTTGGGCTGCTGAAACAGAAAGTGATGAAATGTGATGGTGGTGTAGCAGTCCAAAATTTAATATATTTTTAATTATCTAAGTAAGCTACTTCGTGTGTCTTAAGTATTTAAGTTGCCACAGAATGTAATCAGGTATATGTGTGTGAGTGCAGAGGCTTATTGTGTACTACTTGGCAGGTTTGTTTATGCAGTGGATCTATTCAGTATCTCTGTGTGGCCCCAGAATGCTTCAGTAGAGATGTCATTAATATGACTAGAGATCAGTTCCCACTTGTCAGAGAACCATGCTGAAGCTTACAGTCACTGCACTGCTCAGCAGCTATAACATGTTGAAAAATGTTATTTGCCATCTTTGAAGGTTGTAGATGTGTTTTTTATTATTGTATTGTGTGTATTGTATAATTTATTAGGATGAGTGGTAGCCTGAACATTTGCTGACTGACCACATGATATGTTGATAGGGGGTTGTGAGATCTGTACTGAATACACCTAATGAATTAGAGTATTGTGGCACCAACTCCTGAAGTCAACCAAATCATGGAGTGTGTCAGCAAAGTTACGGGCTTCCACGGAAGTGTATATAATTAATTTTATAATCATACATTCTTAAGTTTTTGAAGCAGTGCCACCGTTGCATTTCCTGGAAAAAAAGCTCAAGTGTTGTCATATTTTTTGGTGTATTTGATGCAGAGCTTCTCACATTTATAGCAGGATTAAGATGGGTCACACAGGGTCGCAGTAGCAAGGATATCTTGTGCATGCTGTCGCCAGTTCATGGTTCATGTTGTACATAAGACCCTCACTTTGGTAATTAATGCCATGTCATCAGCTGGCTGTCTACTTGACTGACATGGGATCACTGCTCTGTCCAGAGTCCCATAATTTACTTTACTGTGAGGGTGTGTCAGATATGCTGAATAATATGGTGCATGCCCTCAATAGTCAGCCCCTGTATATATATATATTTGTGTGTATTGTAGTCAAACCTGTGCTTTCTGTGGAAGTGAACAAATATTCTGTGCATGTACAGATCTGAGTCTGAAGGAAGTGTGTGTGTGTGAGAAACAAACTTTTACTGATGAAGATTTATTGTGTTTTGCTCATTTTTTCCTTCCCCCAAACTGGACTGCAGTCATGTTATGCTGCTTTGATATCTTCTTCATATGATTGGTGTAATATTTTTTAATTTGCCTAAACAGTAGAACATTTTGTAAACAAGTCTTCTGATATGTCAATATTTAGTAAAGTTTCTTGATTGTAACATCTGTACCTTGTGGTGTTCTCATGGGTGAATGTCACAGGTAATGAAGTCTCTTTTTTAATCTGTAATACCTTAATCAGCAGATTCGTATGAAAATATCACTAATAGACATTAAAGTGTCATTAAAATAAAAATATCCTGTATCCTGCATATAACTATTTTTCCTTATGTTACAGAACAGTTTTCACCTTTTAGCAGTTTGCTTATAAATCTGATGATGATACACATAAATATCAAGGGATATATATGGAACAGTAAAATAGTAAGCAGACAAATAATAAAACTGACAAAATTTAAATTCTGTATAGTTATTGTAGTTGCAACACTTTTACATTGAAATGAATCTTGTGTTGGAAAACACAAAAAATTGTTAAAATTCAAGCACCATGAACTAAATTTTGAAGTGATACCAGATTAGACAAAAGGAGGCATATAAAATGAGCTAAATATCTGTCTAGTAAACATAACAGTAAACTACATAGAAAATTCACTTATTGGGATGTAGACATGTAGGCAGACCATTCTAGGTATCCTTTCACTCAGAAGTCTTCAGGTCTTGTTCTTGTTCAAGGTCACAGTCACTTTTATAGTATGGGTATGTGTACTGAACACATTTGTGAGTTAATCTTTCACAGTTACCATTCAAATTCATTGTTGGTTTTGATACAATTTAACCTCTGCAGTTGATATGGCAATCTGTTGAAACACTGCCCACAAAACACTATACTGCAACCCCTTTTAGATATCTAAAAATATCACTAAAACTTCTTTTTGTGGGTTCATCAATGAAAATGAGCTGTTTACTTATTTTATTTAAAGTATGCTTGCTTCATCAGTGAATGAAAACAGGCATGAGAGAACTGAACTCCATATATTACATCATATTATCAAATTATATACTGGGAAGAATCGACAGTTGACGAAAGTACCTTCAGAACACGGTTTGAAATGGTCATCATCCAATACTAAACAGGATTGTAAATGTAGCCATAACCTCAGACTGCTTTCAAACATTTCTCAGTTCCAGTTTTGAGTATCTTAATTGTCTAGTATGTGTTATAAACCTGAAAAGCAAAATTCTCTACTTAATGTGTGCTGCTCCTTAATAGACCACATTTGACTACATCCAAAATATAAGCGAAAGGAATAAAAACAGTATTTACAGAAGTTACATGATGCTTGTACATCCAACTCCCCTCTTGATGATATGGGACCAGTCAGTATCAGTAGTGTTATCTCTAGATGCTGGATTGGGTCACACTCAAGCAGCATGCCTGGTGTTTGTCCCACAGATGGCGATGTTTCACGATTTCACATCTGTTAGACAGGACCCCACTCCTAAGCACTAATATCTCCCAAGTTAATGTCACTGAATGTTGTGATTTACCAATATCACTTCTCTTCCTGAATAGTATGTTCTCCAAGACCACTTTTCTAGGTACCTTTCATCACCTCTAATGGCCAACAAGTCCTCAAGACTAGATCTCTGTCTCCAGCCCAAACATCTCTCTCAATTTACGTGTGCCCTATTCACCCTCTCAGGGCACAATTAGCACAGTACTCTTGCATTCAATACAAGATACAGTCTCTCTCAACTGGAGATGTGTTCAGTGGTGGTAATGTCAATGTATTTTCACTATGACTAGAAAAAATGAATGGTTCGCTATTAACTGTTTTTCATCATGTATATTTATAACAATCTAAAGGTTGCTATTAATATATATCCATTGTTGTTTTGCTCGTTCTGTCTTTTTATTCTCTTATATTTTGGTTGATGAGTGTTACTGCCATATGATATACGTATATTAGCTGTCGTGTTTCATCTCCTGTGCTGTACTGCTGCATATAGTGGGACTACACATGGGAGATCAAAGACAAGAAAGTCAGCAGTAAAGCACAGTGAGTAGTAACCTGTGTTGGGGTCAGAGCTTTGAACTGTTGAAATAAATGTTTGATACAGGCACTAACCAATCAGATACTAACTGTGGAATAGTGTAAAATGACGGACTCCTGTTAAGAAGCTGCTGAGTCCATAGTCATATTTTCTTTTGAATCTGTAAGTTCTTACCTATATTTCAGTTAAATCAATGTTTTTTTTTTCCCTGATCATGTGGGAAAAGTTGAGCATACTGTCCATAACAAAAGTGTGCTTGAAAACAGCTGCCTTTACATACTTGGAATACCTATACTGACTTGCTGGCCAGTTGGTCTGTTATGACCAACTGGTAATAAGAACTTATACCATGGAACTGTAGCCATGTTGTTGTAACACCTCTGCCAGCAATTCTGTAAGGTCCTGTGCTGCTCTCAACCTTCCAGAGGGCTCCGTGGACTCCGAGCATTTCTGCACCAACTCCGATACGCGGGCGTGAGCAGGTGGCATGTCGTGGAGCAGCCCACCAGGAATCATGTCTAGGGCTGCCAGTGGGCTCAGCAGGTGCTGCAAAACAGAATACAGCATCTTCTAACTGTTAAAAATAACATTACTTTGTGCTGTCTAATGTCGCTTGAAGTCTCAATGTGATCTTTATGTGGTGTACACCATGTCTACAAATGAGACCCCTTGGTGATCAAATCATGACAATTTAACATAAACACACATGTACATATATAGTTGAAGTTTTGATTTGAACTGTTTGTTTTATTATCACTTATAGTACAGCTGAATCAAATATAAACTCAGAATTTAGTACGTCAGTCTGACTTCATAGAGATGCCTTAAACATGAATATGGCAATGCCACTATAAATATTTCATGATGATAAAGGTGAAAAAAAAAGAGAGTGATGATTGTGCTGTCCCAGAAGTAAGCAGTGAACCCTATACTGCCTGGTTTTTCTTACCTGGCAAACTGCATAAAAGTTGTGGTCACTCATCCTATGAGAGCAAATGTCTTCAGAAGAGAATGCAAAACAGCCTTCACAGTCAAATGTTTCACTCACATGAGGGATAGTCCATGACTGTGGCCTATCTGCAACACATGTAAGAAGAGACGTCTCACAGCGAGTCATCAGTCATTATCATTATACAAACCCTGAATCAGAATAGAGCATCACTTTGGGTAAATATTGATTAATGTTTCAGAGGTGTCAGGCGATGGCCTGATAATGGAGATGATAAGCACCTCTGAAATTTCTGTCATTATCTACCAGACTACGCGGCACATCCCAGCACAGAGAGCCGTCTTCAGCATCATTCTGGTCTTGATTTTGTTGGAGGGAGGGAGCTTCACTGGGATGATGGCTGCATAGTTTCAGTTAGGGTTTGTCGGTTTTTAAAAACCAGGTTCAAAAACCATTTTTTGGATAAATTTGTAAAATTCGAAAACCGGTTTTTTGGAAATACTGGAATTCGAAAACTGGTTTTTTCAAAAGTCGGTTTTTGTATAAACCCTAGTTTCAGTCATAACTATATCATCATCTGTTGTAATGTTTTTGTTGATTTCCACACGTTCAAGCAAATCAAAAGCCATATATGTCATTTTCTTTCTTCTCCTGTCTGCAGTCATTAAACTTGGCTTACTGACATGCCTCATTCCAAAATCTTCACTTAACGTAATGTGACACGATCCATAAGAAATTTAATAGAAAGTCAATCTTTGTTATTTTGCACTAAATTGTACACTGGAGTTACTGATATATAATTTCTACTGACTGAATGGTACCCAGGATGCTCATCACTTTTTACAAATATTCATCCTTTTTTAAAACAAAGGACCCATTCAAAAATATGTACCTGGCTCACTGTTGCATCTCCAGATGTTATTTGCACCAGCTGATAAGTTTCAGTCATTATCTTTGTATCTTCTCACAAAATTTAACGCAGCTATGTTGTTCTATCCTCCCACATCCAGGAATGCAACTGCATCCCTGCAGAGTATCACTCATCTGAGATGTGAATTCAGTCTTGATAATTTTTGATCAGATTTTATAAATAATTTTTAAGCAACAGAAAGTAAACCAAATACAAAATCTTGTTATTCACACTACCACAGAAATAAATGATTTTCATTTTATTTAATTGATATTTGACATAAAAAAATGTTTCAAAGTGAAGCTGTAGATTTAATAAGGTATATTTCATATCATGCAAATATTTTTTATGCAGACATTTAAGAGAAAAAAAGTTCAATACAAGCTTCTTTACTACAGATACAAAGAAAAATCAAATCTGCTCAACAAATTTTAGTGTGGATCCACTTAGATTTCATCAAAATCTGTCCAATACTTTCAGAGATGAAAATTGGATGGATGGACTTATTCATTGTGCGTTCATTTTATACAGATAATACAATGTAAGAAGATGTGGAAGTCTCCAATGGAATGCTAGTCCATCACATTTCACAAAAATTTGTCATTTCTGACTGTTTGCAGTTGGATTAACAGGACAGACACAAGTGCACACACACCTTCATTTGGTACATTTTTGTCGACTACAATCACGTTCTCAAGGTCGACAAACCTCAGCTTGCCCTGTGCATCAACAGCGATGTTATCTGCAGAGATATCAGTGAGGTAGAAGCCAAAGAGTGGGTGACTGTCAGTAAAGTTATGAGCTGCAATAAGTAGCTGGTGGGCAAGATGTACTCGCTGGAGCCATGGAGCGTTATGATACGAGGTCAGTATCTCCCCAGCATACTCCTCCACCACGACACGCCCACATGCACCCATGTATTTCGTAACTGGCCACCCATCTTGCTCCTGCAGCACCTGTCGACGAAATAAACTCCTATGGTTTGAAACGTGTTCTTACCAATTCAGAACTGCTATTCTGAAGTAAGGCTGTACTAACTGCTCTCTTACCACTTTCAGAAGCCTTAATGATTATTCTCTCCAGGAAAATACTGCCCTCCATTTCACTCAAAATAAAATATTGACAAAATGCCATTAAATAAACCAGCAAAACAAACTAAGGAACATTCGTATATCCAGAAATTTTGGCTTTATCAGTAGATCTATTTATTGCATTTTTGAATTTATTTAAAGGTATTTACAGACATTCCTCAGAACTTTCAAAGTTTTACAAAAAAGCAATGTTTTATGAAAACAGATATGCAGTGCATGGCCCAGTTAGTATTGTCTTCATTCAGCAATGTCCTACTTGAAGATTTTTAATCAGGTCATTGACAATGTAGATACCTGTAACAGTAGTGGCTCTGGATTTATCATTAGAGTTGTCCAGATGTTGGCAAGTGATGCTTCAGTACTTGTGCCCTTTGTTTTGTAAAGCACACTGCTCAACAGACATTCCAGATTTGCCACAGATGGACACAGGAGCAGGCTGCTATCTTGGCTAGCCACATGCTGCCTCATGGAGTGCAACAGATCACCCTGTTGCCAGATTGCCTCATGCACATGACAGGATGAGCTGAGACCAGCCCCTTTACAAATCATCTTGTCTAACTGCTCCAATTCTACTGTATGGCCCAGTTTCTTCAGCACAACCTTCTGATTACCAAGCATACCAAACAGAACATTCTTTGAACCCAAAATATTCACAAATCCAGCAAAAGCACCAAAGGAATGCAAGGTGAGAAATCCTCCAGTAATAGCAGGGCAAAATGAGGTACCGTAGCAGGCTGGACACTTCTCCACTTCTGTAAGGTCTGTAATTGAAGGCCACAGCAGATGAGATATCAGCATAGTCAGGCACACAGATACAAACAGGAGTGTCAACATGCCTCTTACTCTCCGCTTCCATTGCAATCCACCCATTTTGTTCTGAAATCAGTTAGTAAATCACACTTAAGCTGAATATTAAGTAATCACATGGTACAAGATCTTCCTTGGACAATTAATAAATATTCACCTGATCAAGACATTTGTTGTTGTTGTTATAGAAGATGTATCACCATCAACAAAATAGTCATTCTTTGTACCCTGTCCTCAACTAGTTTCAACTGTTTACTTCTTCACAATCTACTAATTTAACATCCATTTTAAAATTCAATCTACATTTAGATCCCCAAGTGGCTACTTCTTTTAGGGTTTCTTAACCAAAATGTCACGTTTTTTGTTACCCTACACAATTCTGAATGGAACCCTTGTTATATTTTTTCTTCTTCCTAAAGTTATTTCCATACTATGGGTTGTTAACGTTTGCATAGCAGTTTCGCAATATCAAATATGACAATGCAGGCTCATTCAAATAAATTGTATGAAATAACTGAATAGTTCTATACAACTGGGGACCTCTGCATGAAGAAAAAACATTTTAATTATAAGCACGTTTTAAGACTTCATTTGCAACAGATCATGTAATATGTCCCACAATTCAAATAAATACAAATAAAATATTTTGCCCCATACTATTCATAACACCTACTTGTCATTACATACAATAGATTGAAAACGCAATTTTTCACAGATAATAAGAATATACATATCGGCAAAAACCGGGAAGTCTCGTGAATTATATCGTGCCATCTATCCGCCTATACTATAAAACAACTGGTCGTAGTAATACACTCCTAAGAGTTCAGTTGGTAAAAAAGTTAACTTCCATCCAACGTAACTGCAACACCCCCCCCATCAATCGCTCCAATTTTGAAATCCGAAGATAACTGTCTTCTTAGATTTTGCACCATGTCGTTTGGCACAAAGTGACAGACGTTTCAGAGTTAGTTCCTACCTCAGTGATGAGGGTGATGTGAAAGATGAAGTGTGTCTGAAATGTGAGTCAGTATTTGCAAGACTACATGGTACAATATCCCAGCAGTAAGTCAGCTTGAATCCAGCCACTGTGATATCACCTCTCTAAACTTCATCAATGATAATGCAAAGGATCTTCTCCACTTTTAAAAATTGATGTATGTGAACTGTTTAAAACCAGTATCACTGCATTCTTACAAGTCAGGGATACCAGTGGAGGTATCAGTGAGGAAGTGGAAGGCCCTTCTGTGCAGATAGGACTGACTGTTACTGCAAATGAAGTCACATTTACGTTGCTATTGATTCTAGTGGGGTGGAGGGCATGAAGATCACCATCATGGGGTAAAATGAATGGCAATGAATTGAAAGGAATTATGTATAATGAGGGAAGAGAATGTTCTGGGATTAAATTTCCAGTTGAATCTCAGTCACATGAAACCCTCACTTTCATCAGGCATATCCTTTCAAATGTTTTGAATTCCTTTTCTAAGAAATGTTTCCTGCACAAGTATCTGTTGTATAGTCTTTGGTAGAATCAACATTGAATGTTTTGACAGTGTTTTCTGCTCATAATATACCACTGTAAAAGAACATGCTGTGTTACAACCAACAAACAATTGTTCATAAAACCACAATTAGAAACTTGTAGATGTTGTGAAATGTTGAGGCTACATCCAGAAAACTTTTCGCAGTAAGAAGTTTAATCTAGAATTAAACACAGAAAAAACAAAGTATATGTTGATGTCTCATCACCAGAATGAAGCGCAAAATCATATCATACAGATACTTAATAGATCCTTTGAGGATGTGGCAAAATTCAGATAGTTTGGAATGACAGCAACAAATCAAAATTTGATTCATAAGAAAATTAAGAGCAGATAAATTTGGATAATGCTTGCTACCATTAAGTTCAAAACCTTTTGTCTTTTTCTGCTGCCTAAAAATGTAAAGATTAAAATACAGAAAGCTATAATTTTGGTTGTAGTTCTGTATGGGTGTGAAACTTCGTCTCTGTGGAGTGTATACTGAGGATGTGTGAGAACAGCGTGCTGAACAGAATATTGGGAACAAAAATAGATAAAATACTTGGAGGCTGGAGAAGTAGCTAAAAAGGATCTTCATAAGTTGTACTCCTCACCAAATATAATTAGACTGATAAGTCAAGGAACATAAGATGGGCATGTACCCCACATGGAAGAGAAGTTGAATGCATACAGGATTTTGGCGGACTGAGTGGCTGGCTGTGGTGGATGACCAGAAGGAAATAGACCACTTAGAAGACCTAGACGTAGGTGGGAGGATAATATTAAACTGGATCTTAGAGAAATAAAATGCGGTATTATGGAATGGATTCTCCTGTCTCAGAATAGGAACCAGTGGCTGACTCTTGTGAACACGGTAATGAACCTTCGGGTTTCGTAAAATGTTGGGAATTTCTTGTGTGACTGAGCGACTTTGGTTACACAGGAAGGACTCGGCTCCATGGAGTACGAGCGACATCTTTGCGTCCAGCCTGGAATTTGTGTGTACTTACTTCGAGTAAATAAGTCCAACAGCTATATTCACATTTAAACAGGTATTACAACTTGAATAATAATTCTTCTAGGGAAATTATAATATTCGGTGTTGGCTGCTAAGTTTCAGGGTTTCATCAGGTTTAGTGGTGTGTGGTTTGTACTTTTATGTCGTTGGGTAGTGGTCTGGAATAAATCGTCATGCAGCTTCTCATTTAGAAAATATAATGCCTTTAGGGAATATTGCAAAAGTTGCTATTGGCTGGTAGGTGTACAGAAGTGTACTTTGTCAGTCTTCATATTTGTTCTGCATAAGGTATAGGTTATTTCATTTTTATATAGTTAAATACAGTTTTAATAAACGGCACCTGTGTTAACCGGAATTTTAATTACTCGCTGATGTGCATTATTTGCTGTTTACAAGAATTAGTGGTGCAGACATATATTAGAAGGAAGCTGTGAAAATATTTACGACCATTAACCTAATTTGATAACGAAGATTCAGAGTCGTCTCCACAGTATAAATTAAATTGGTTCGACAACATAAGTATTCAATGTTAGAAATCCAGTTCACATTATACATGAATATGAGAGGTAAACAGTACGCTTATCTATATCGTTACTAAACACTCAACAAAGGGAAATGTTTTAAATTACACAACTGGAACAATTCCAAGAAACTTTCGAAGATATAAATTTAAACATAAACAAATTAAACAAGACGATGCTGAATGCTAACCTCAATGGATTTAACACACGAGTGTGCTATATAGGAATCAATGAAAGTTTGAATTGTGATATGAAAGTATATTTAAGCCACAGTCGGAGGATTATCTCTCACCTCTCTCCTGCTGCTTAGAAGAATTGAATGAAATTAAACATTTTTAAGTGTGTAAATATCCCTCATATACATTTATGGTATGGTGTTTAATTAAGCAACAGAGTCACCATTACCTTACTTTGCATTCATAAATGCAAACTTACAAATGTAGTGTGTCTGACATAATTACTTCACCATGTGTAATACAGTTCTCACAAAAAAGGATAACTGTAAATAGTTGTGACAACCAGTTATGTGCTTTTATGTGTATGAAAGTTTATATACATTCCACAGATTCTTCTTTGGGTTATACCAATAGATGTAGAACATGTCATAATACAAGTACAGAACTTATTTCACGTGTAGATAAACATAAACTTATGAACTTTCAGCACAAGTACAAAAACTTATTTCAGTTATAGATATACATAAAGCTTAAGAAATTTCAACAGATATAAAATCATCTACAGAGTAGGAGTGAGTTAAGAGGGTTTTTTTATTGCAGGCTTGAAGATTTAAACTTCAAATCATAGGTAGAAGATTATTAAATAACTTGATACCTGTATAGTATACCCCTTTTTTATGTTTAGTGTGGTTAGTATTTGGCATATGAAGGTGTTTAAATTGTATACATCTATATTTCTTTCAAATTTGTCCACGTTTTCCACCACAAATGATAGTAAGGAGAATATGAATTAATTTTCAAGAGGATGTATAGTAAATTTCCAAAATAATTTTCTATAAAAGACTCTGCTTTTAACACTTGCCATTATTCTAATTATTTTCTTTTGGATGTGAAATGATTTATTAGTCTCTTAAAGATTAACTCATATGACAGTACACAGTAGAAGTAATTTTAAATTATCTATTGTAATGAGTGATACAACTGTCCTCATGGCGAAGCATGCAGAGCTTAGTTTTGGAATAATATACTCATTGTTTTTTTTCCAATTTTAAGTTATGGTCAGTTTGTAAACAAAGGATTTTTTTTGATTTTACTCCCTCAATTAATTTGTTGTCCAAACCTATATTTAAACTAGAACATGTCTTGTTCTTAGTAGCAAATTTTATGTGGCTTGTTTTATCAAAATTTGGTGGCAGTTTCTTAACTTTAAACCATTTGTTTAGGTTGGCAAAGACATCATTCATGATATTTTGGAAATAGTCCAGTTCTGGATGTGTAATAAAGATACTTGCATTGTTATCAAAGAGAATAAGTTTGGATTGAGAGTTTATAGTTGTAGGCAGGTCATTGATGTATATGAGGAAAAATAAGAGGTCAGGTACTGAACCTTGCAGCACTCCATGATTTACTATATCCCATTCTGATTAGATATGGAATGTTAATGATGTGCTCTACATCCCTGGCTTAGTCTTGTAAAAGAACTATGGAATGTAAATTAATTCTGATTTAAGAGTATGATCATTAAGCTATAGTAAGACAAGTCATAAAACTATTTACTAAATCATGTAGCACACAACTGGAGTGAAATAAAAATTTAATTAAAAGTATAAATATTTTGTAACAATTATCAAAGTGCCCATGTTTGGTTTTTAGAAGGGGAAGTAGGCTCATTTTATTGGCTTCTGATAGGTTCATTACTTCTTTGTAGCATTCATTTTGTTCAGATACTTTCATGGTAATACCTGCTGAGCATAATAATCTGACAACAGGCTATTTATTACCTGATTTCAGTGTCACTGGGCTGGTAGATTAGTCATTATTTGATCTTAAGTAATGCAATATTTCTGTAGCTCAAGATGAGACATTCATGGTTATTGTTAAATTATTTATGTTTGGAATATCTAGTAATTGTTTATGGTCACACACATTTTCTTTGGTATTTATATTAACATTTTGTATTTAGTATAATAAATCTGCCCTTGTTTGATATCTGGTGCAGTATATTATACTTAAAAGAATTAATGAAGAATTAGGTAATGTGTTGTAATTATAATTATAATTTTGTTGGCATTCATGGTGACTGTATGTTGAATATATTTTAGTTAAATATGGGGTATCCATAGACAAAATATATTCAGTCACCTTCAATTATACTATGACTATACTATGACTATGACCTACCAAGGCAGTATAAATTCATAACTTCATCAAATTTATCTCTCTGTGAGGGAATCAACAACTCAGAGGGCTGTTAAATTATGGCTATCTATAATACAAATTTTGGAAGGAGAGGAGACTTGGAACTCTAGGTTTCATGGTCAATCCATGATCATTTAAAGAAGCTGCAGTATTTGCTTTTAGTTTCTTTTTAAAGTGAATCAGCAGTTACAACTGAAGTCTTCTGTTCCAGGGCAGTTGTGACATCTGTCGGGTTGTACAGTTTTGTGCTTTCAAAAAGGTCAGTTGATAGCCATCGCTATGACGCTATGAAAGTAAGGGAACGCATTCGAAGATCCAACGCCGGGGAGTACGACAGTGGTTCAAGGAAGTTCAGTGGCTGACATTCACAGTGAGTTAGTGTGTGAGAGACATGGCTGGCATGCCCCCACTAGACTCTTCCAAGCTCCAGTTGGTGCAGGAGTTGGAGATTGAGATGATGTCAGACATGTACAACAGAATGACTTCTGCATGCCACAAAAAATGCATCCCCCCTAAGTATAAGGATGCTGAATTAGGGAAGGGTGAATCCGTCTGTCTGGATCGTTGCATTGCCAAGTATTTGGACATTCATGAGCGTATAGGAAAGAAACTAACGCAGTTGTCAATGCAAGATGAAGATTTGATGAAAAAGTTGCAAGCTGAACAGCAGCCAAAAGTTTAACACTTTTTGATGACAGTGTAGTTGTACTGATGAAGTAGTCAATAAAACCTGCAGTTTGAAAATAACAGCACTTATTGTTACTTTATTTTATAAAACCACCATCTTAGAAATGGGGGTGATATGTTCTTTTGAAACACTGGCAATAATCTACAAGGATCTAAACAATGATGGCTGAGTGGTTGATACTTCTTTATGTTCTGGAGGTCCTGGTTTCAAATCTCGGGCAAGTGACTGGCTATCATGACTGATGTTTTTCATGATTTTCCTCAGTTCCTCCAGGCAAATTCAGGAATAGGATAGTAACTTATATTAGGCCATGACTGCTTCCTTCCATATACTTTCCAACCCATTCTTCATTAATCCTATCATTTGATACTGTTTAGTCTGGGTTGCTGACAGCATAATTAAATAAACCATAAACCACCTACAAGACCATGCACTGTCACAACCTGGAAGACCAAAATCAAAAGTTTTATAAAAAGTTTATTGTATGTCAAGTACACTTCAAGAACTAGCTCGTTTGCTGGTTTTTGAGATAATTAAATAGTAATTTTGTGTTGTGTCATCTCCTAACTTCAGAACCATTAGACTGAGTTTAATGAAATCTTATATTGGATTTTTGTGCTTGTCTGCCCCACCTGTTTTATGTTATTTATAAGACGGCATCAAATTTAGCACTCGCATATTAAAAACTAGGGGCATCAACAAAGTAAGTGCTCAGGCATTTTCTCCAGTGCTGATATTATGGTCATACCACCATGACTCAATTGCCAGAGCTTCATGTGATAACAAAACACACCGCTTTTAGTTCAGGTTGGGATTTGACTAGTAGAACCAACAAGAGATGACTCCTGATCTTTATCTTCTGAGTTCTCTCAGTTGTATGTTATCCTTTTCTATGCTTGTGAACTGATAGCCTGTGAAACAGTTGTGTTAGGTTTGCCATTATCTGTCAAGATGCAAAATATTTAATGTACATCTTTTACTTTGGCAGAGTTGTCTTTAGTAAGCATTATTTTAACTGTACAAGACAGATTAATTTCTTGTATCCCTATAGCCTGGCAGTAGTAATGACAAATATTCATTATAACTTATGTGACTGGCATACGAATTCCTCAAACATTTGTACTTTGCTATTCTCCTACAAGCTTAATTTTGTTTTTTATTAATGTACAAGGATTACATTAGCAATTTTACAAACCAAATTATTTCAGCGGTATGTTATCAGACTTCTCTACCTTCAGTGACCTCGACTGACTCAGGATAACTTCAGAGGATATGGATTCCTATTCAAAAGTTGTTCTCTCAGAGTCCCTCTATACGCTCCTTTAGTTTGGCCCTAACCTTTTGAATCAGCCTGTATACAGTAAAGTTTTTCTCAGTCTCTCCTGCTCAGTATATCTGTTTCTTTTGGCAAGTAATTAATTATTCTTAATCATACTACCAATTTACCTTCAGTGCTAAGTACTGAATGACATTTGTACATCAATAAATAACTGCAGAATCTATGGATGTCCATATTACATTCTGAACTGTGTTGCAGAATTAGTGCAACATAGTGATACAGGTGGAGATAGTGCATGATCTACCACAGAACTCAAATTCTGACTCTGAAGACTGGAAAGATTCAGTACTTTCAAGAGAGATTTATGTCAGTCGAGTGTTGATGAGCAAGAGGACGATAATCCAGGAGCAGGTATGCTTGCAGAAGTGTCTTCTAAGTTTGCAGTCACAGGATGCTAATTGTTCTGGTCAATACCAATTTATTCTTGCCTTTATCCAGATTATAAGAGGATGTAGGAACTGGGAATGTAAGTGATACTGTAGCAGGAAACCTGGCCTTCAGTTAGCAACTGACATATGCACATCCTGCATTACAATTTAGGAATGTGCCATACAAAGAAAAGCATTAAATGAACAAAACTTTATTTAATATTGTACATTAAATCTTGCATTCAGCTGAAACAACATAATTTATCCACACTTTCATTTCAGTACATTATTACTGTTCTTCAGCATTCTGACCAGCTATACTGACAAAATGAATCCAGTTAATTGCTCGGCCACTATCCACATGTGGCTACACAACTTCTGACACTGCCGACTTCTTTCCTTGGGGGGCGTATTTCTGTTGTGAAGCACCTGATTAATGAGGAGCTATAAGGATTTGTTAGTGATTTTTGAAACAGACTGAACATCCGCAATAGTCACGGCTGAAGATTAGTATTGTGATATTATGCCAGCTGGTATGGGCAGGGGAATGATGAATGGTTGGGAAAGTGCAAGTTCCTTGACAAACCTGCCACAATGCCACTTCGTCTATCATATATCCCACATGGACTGCTGTATGGCTGAACACAGTTTTCCATGATAAGCCAATATGGATTATGAAGCTCTAAAGCAGTTAAATGAATATGGGATTTGAGTTTTCCATCGTAATGAAATTTTGGACTGTGTTCTTCTGGGTTATTATGCCATACAATCTTGCAGGTGGTTAGAAACATATCAGAAAAAAATACTGCATCCATCTGTACTTATACCCTGAAGGAAGAAGTAATACATTCCTCCAAAATGTTGGTAACTACCTACAAGACATCATTAGCTAGAAGACCACAAGCCACACTAAAAATTGAATCCATTCTTTCATGGATCTCTAGTTCATACTGTGGATAAGTGTGTAAAATCTAATGTAGTATATTTTGTATACTTTACATGAAGTTCAGTAACCCAATATGAGGCTGTGAACAGAACACACGTTCTTATGGGAAAAAATGAAAACTTTTGTCTTGATTTACATTTTCCTATATCCAAGCTTCACATTTTTAGCAAAATTGTAACATATTATTTATGCATCAGCAACTCACATATTTTCACTCAAATAGGGGGTTAAAGTTCAGGATTTTGCCCTGAAGCAGGTATAAAAGTTCATAAGTTCAAAATATTCCTATAACAAAGTGAGAGGCTGTTCCTTACACACTAATGCTAGTGCCTCCATGCCATTCAAGATGTGCAATGTAAATGTATTACAATCTTGCCTCTCAGTAGCAGTTCCTTCAGACACAGTGACTGCAAGTGTAGTGCCACAACTGCAACACCCAGTGCACACTGAATATTTCATTTTAAACAGTTTCTAGCCAGAAGCACCTCAGCAGTCAGTCTCCTTCACTTACAACTGCAATGCAGTGCTACCTGGGCACTTCCTATATTATCTCATGTGCGAGTTGCACAAACAATTCCTGCCATGTCCACTTTTCTTGGTCTTCAAAATCTCCCATCTTTATTTCCTACCAAACATATTCCAACAGTTTTATGACTGAAACTGTGACACCTGTAACTCTGCATTTTTCTTAAACAGCACTCATTTTGATTTCACAGTGACATTCTCTTCCATTTCATTTTAAAATTGTATAAGGAGACACTAAAAAATTAATTTAAATCTATAACAGACAGGCTGTTCTGCTATGATTCTCAGGTTTATAACAGATTAGTTCCTAGCATCAAATTTAATAAAAATGCCAGTCACGGGGAGAAACACAGTGAACCAACAAACATATCAAATGTAACACGTGCATGTTTCACTGTAAAATGTAACTAAGTGATGTTATCCCATTTCATTTGCACTGAACTTACAGGAGTTAGATCATTACAGTATCTTCACTTTAAATATTTTTCAAATCTTGGTCACCACAAACCACTATGGGAATTTCACTGTACTATATGAAACTTGATTATCTTCTCAAAATTGTTCGACTCCCATTAATCTCTGTTGGCCTTTGTTCCGGCTAAGCACTCTTCCCCTTCCACCCTAATTTTTTAAAAAAAGCAAAAATAAGATAAGGAACATTACTGGCCTGTTTCATTTGTTCCCGAAACTCCAAAGTAAACAATAACTGGTCACATTGCAGAGTTCTTATGTGCAGTTGAAATAATGCTTTAAACCTCTCACCTTTCATCATACATCAGTCATACAGATTATATAATGGACACACTTTTAACCTTTAATGTATCACATTGTCCCCTCAACTTATACCCTGTACCAGTGAGCTGAATATAAACAATTGGCTGTACGTTACTAACATTTAGTACTTCTCTTGCAATGCTCAACTGAGCACTACGAGGGACTGACATACTTTCTGTTTAATTCTTATGCCCCGATAGCCACACAGCCCAATATTAAAATATCTTGTTTAGCTTATTTCTTGGAGCTCCAGTGCAGTGAGACAGTCAATGACATAACAAAATCTGTGCCTGCTGTCTGCTGACATTACGTACCAACACTTTTTCATTATCTATTAGACCATGAACAAAAGTATAAAAGTCCATTCACAAATATTTTATTTGAAAGGTAAGATAAAAATGTTTCTTAAGAATTGCCATTAATTTTTATAAATTCTTTGTAATAATGTATCAGCTACTGAAATAACTGGATCAGGATATGAGATGAAAAGACATCGCTAAAATAGGAAGAGAACGGAATCATACCATGCTTATGCACTCTGCATGTGTTAATACCGAAATCTAATCAGAGAAAGTAAAATTCCGTAAATGTTAAAGCTGAGAAGCACTAATTCTGTTGGTTGGTTGATTTGGCCAGCAGGACGGTGTGTTGCCCACCGCCAGAGACATGCAGCACAAGGCGTGACTCCAGCTGCTTGCCCTTGATAATCTGTGGTGTATGTTCATCCTCTTGTTTGCCTGTGCCCAGTTGACCGGTATAGCCCATGCCCCATGCATACAGCTCACCTGGACAGCAAGGGAGAATCTCAAATACTTAATTATAGCAAAGTTGATTGCTGTACAATTAACAACCAATTATAGGCAATGATGTTCAAAATTAAAAAGCTACAGTGTCAAATGTAATCAAAATCCACTGGTAGCCACATATATAGCACAGCACAGGTAATTAGCAAATAACCTGACATCAGAGTTATTAACCAAAAAGTCAAGGGGGGGAAATTATTGTCTACTGGGCTTACCATTTTTTGTTACACTTTGTACTTCAGTTCTGTGTGATGATTGTTTCCAATGAAAATATCTACCATGATGTCACAAAAGTTCACTATTTTCTACCTCTTGAAGAAATAAAGATGGCTGTATTCTGGGTTATTGCACCATGAAGTCTACGCAGAAGTCAGCCATCTTAAATTCTTCAAGAGACAGAAAACAGTCTGAACTTCTGTGACTTCTCAATAGATATTTTCAAGAAGACTTCATTGCAAGAAATTCTTTATGCAATTTTCTTCAATTCCTTGTTAATTTATGTCTCTCAGGTCTAAAAAGTTAACAACAGGTATTGCTTATTTAATAAAACAAACATACAGAAATATTTCCCCCCACAAACACTAACAGAATGTACTTTGAGCTGTTGTTTGCATAAGAAACACCAAATTATTCTGAAATCATATTTATGACAATGTCTGTGCTTAAAAGATGTGAGATTTGTTTTGTCCCACAGTTTATACTTGCCTTTGTCTGTGACAGCAAAGGATGCACAACTTCCACACGATATATCCACACATTTCTTGTCTTTCAGTGCTGGGATGGGGATGAGTTTCTTGGCATCATCACAGTCCTCCCCCAAGCCCAAGCGTCCATATTCTTTTCTGCCCAATGCATATATCACACCTACAACACAACACAAGGAACAATGTGCCCTCACCTCACACTGAACACAATAAATTCCACGACAGTAATGGATATATGTGGCACTGAAGATGTCAGACAGTCAAAACACATCAAGTGAAAGTTGTAATTAAATGCTATGGAAACGTATTCAAATAAAATCAGCAATAACTCACCAGCACTGTCTAGTGCAATGCTGTGATGCTGCCCACCACAGATCTGAACCCATTTCTTTCCTGAGAAAGCTTTTGAAACCATTGGATGATAGTGGCTCTTCTGTTCTTCTAGACCTACAACAATTAATTTGTATGTTTGCTCCTTTAATTTTTCTATAACTCATTTTGAATAATCTTTTATTTAATTCATCGCTATCCGATAAAAGAGTTAATTTATTTGAAAAAAATGGACTAGGTACTAACAAGTATCTGATATCTATCACATGGCATATTCTGTGCCTCAAATGAGCAGGTAGTAATGACACTCAGATCCCAGAATACTGGACTTTTGACACATGCAATACGTAGAATGTTTCACACCTACAATCTACTTAACTTTCATTATCTGTGCACTGACACATAGCCAATGCTAAACCATAATATCTGGAGTTGACATCCAATTCCATATTATGAAGGTTTAAATCCCCTCTTACCATGCAATAAAGGCTAATTAATACATCATCTCCAGAATCAATTTATTCCACAGCCCATTAATGTAGTGAGCATCCTGGCATCAGTCAGACAAACTCACCTAACTGGTTATAATTATTTAATCCAAATACGTATATGTCTCCTTTGGATTTCTCCTTTGCAAACGTGCAGTAAGTGCCTGCCCAGACATCTTCAAATTCAGGTTCATGCCTTGGCTTGAAGGTCACCAGCATGGGCAACAGCAGCTGGGCTGCAACAAAGAACTAAATTGAGTGCTGGATCGGGGCCATGCCGAAGCATATGCAGCAAGTTTGATGCACACTCACCCATGCCTTGCCTGCTTCCTCGGCTTGCGCCACGCTCTGTCACGCGTCCCAGCTGTCCCTGCTCCCCGCACCCACATGTGTATAGCTGACCATTTTCACTCAGCATAACGAGGTGATCTGCTCCAGACGCTATCTTCACAACGGTAATGCCTGGCAACATTTCAACAGGTTGTTTCTGGATCCCATTTGATGTGAGGCCCATAGACCCACTTGAGTCCTGCAACATACATAACAATGGTAATCTCCCATATGTGAGCAGAACAGTTACTAGTTACTGAGGATAAACCTGTCAGGCAAGTGCATACTCACCCGGAACGAGCCCCAGGCATACACCTTTCCGTCACTGAGCAGTGCTGCTGTGTGCGAGTCTCCAGCTGTTATCTGTACTGCATGGCCTTCTAGGACCACTTTCCCTGGCTCCATCTCTGAGCCTTCCTTATTAGTGTCTCGGCCCAACGCTCCCTCATCATTGCAGCCAAAAGTTATTACCTGAATATTACAATATAAACGTTAGAAGTGAGCAAGTCAGGCATCCTCTTATCAAGTTACAAGCATAACTCTCACCTCTCCAGACTGTGTAAGACAGACTGTGTGCATTCCCCCTGCACACAGGTCTATCACATGTTCTACACTTGGCACGAGTGCTGGGCGGCCTCGTTCCAATACGCCTTCTCCTAGACCAAGCTGACCAACATCACCCTGACCGAACGTGAGAACAACTCCTGGTGTCTTTGTGTATGGTGGCTCTGGACGAGATAGAGATACTGAAACAGAATATGAATTCCTTTACCCCCAGTAGAATGCTGAGTGTGCCATTGCAAACACAACTATCACGAATTGATCATGACCACATATTCCACAAAACTGTGAAAGGCTGCAACTGTGCATGTACTCACATTTTGGTTTTTTTATGTTCTTTACAGTCAGGCGAGACACTGTACCCTGCCTTTTCATACCTCTTTTCTTCACAGGCATGCTGTGCACTTCTGTTGCAGAGAATTCCTGCAACATTATAAATCAACATATAAGTTTTCCAGTAAAAATAATTTTCCTACATTTTAACTATACTTTAGAAACTCAAATGCATTTTCAGTATGTGCATCCATATTAAAGGTACAGTTCCCTGTCTGGATAGGCATGCTCTACTTGGACTCAGCACAAGTTCCATTATCCAAAATAACACAATTTGTATTCCATATGTGGTTTGAGAATACTCTTATTGTTCTCGCTTCGTATCTTCGTTTTAAAACTCGTTTAACGAAAATACCCAACGGTTTAAACAATACTCATCGCGATATAACCTCTACAAGCACACGACAGCATTCGTAATATATACTTAAACACAAAACTCCTAAGGTCCAAATTTTACAGCATCATTTGAAGCACAACACAACGGGATCTCTTATTTTAAATATATTATCAATTCTTTGATGCTCGCTAAGAAAAGCTTACGTCAATATAAATCACATCGTACTTAGGCCCTTCTTATTAGCACCAAAGAATCCATAGTAGGCTTATTATAATGTACTGCGGCAAATCTTCAACATATCAAGGCTTTCCTTGCGATAAAACCGATCTGGTGAATATACAAAATATAATATTCGTAACATGTATGAACCTTATCAAAATTCACAAAACTGTGAACAAGCTAACGGTTATGGAATAAAGTCCTTACAAGAAATAATGCATTTGTATATTCAAACCAGCCTCACTACCACGGATTCTCACTGCAGCTCTCAAGAGTACATGCGAAACAAATGACGCACACACTGGGTGCGTTTCAAACCGTAAACAATGGTGGGAATCGTTACAATTTGCTAAGTATCACAGATGTTTATATTAATCACCTTAAACACGAAGATTTTCATCATCTTAATGTTTTAAAGAACTTGAACCCGCAAGCGGAAATTGCTTTCAAATACAAGAATTGCATTACAAATCCAACTTACTCGTTCTTTCAATCAGCGTTCACTTCAGCCTGTCTTCTCCCTTAATCTGGCAATTTAATATTTGCCGAAACCATGGGTACAACAATTGACGTGTCTCATCTACGAAAGCTAAAGTCCATTATTAAGAGTAATTGAAACATTCTATGGAATTACTTATAATCTTTGTTGGACAACCTTAATTTTATTTTGGAACCTTAGGGCATAACACAGTTGATCTTACATGTCCATTGTCTGTGATTCTAAAGAAAATAGGCATACGATTGCACAAGTTTTTGATAAGTTGTTTGCCAGTCTATACTGTCAGGCAGTTAAGTAAGATTATTTACATGCAACTGCATTGTAATTGTTCAGTTACATCCAAGTAAAAGTATTCTAGTTATGGCGGTTCGTGTTCAATTTGAAAATAATAATGAGGTTGGAGTTTTCTCCAAACTGACGAATTCATATTGCCTCGTTGCAATAGGGGGATCAGAGAACTTTTACAGGTTGGTATGTGAATTTAAACATTTGCGGTGTTAATTATGTTACAAAACGAGTTGCATGGTCTTCCATTTTCATCAATATTGCAGAGTGAACTGAAATGATTCACGAGAATGTGATCATAGATGATTGGTTCATTCTACCCGGTCTTGCTATTTAGTTTATTAAAAAAATGAAATTTTTAATGTAATATAACCTCGAATTAAAAACGCTAATGTTGTTATATTGGTCATCTTTGTAAAGTAACCAAGTCACAGATTTAGGCTTTCTGTTATTTTATGTGAAATCAGTCGTCTCCAAACCTCTTTTCTTGTGGGGGAGGTAGAGGCCTGAATTGAGTATCGTGTCATTTGTGAAAGCGGGAATTACAGTTTTGTTTTTGATTTTTTATTCTAGCTGTGATAACCAAATGTACAAATACAATAAACAAAACTAAAAGTTGAAGTGCCTAATAAACTTTGATCTAGCTTGACTGGATGTGAGCCATGTGGGAGGTTGAGGTTATAGAGATGTGTTAAGACACTCCATCTTTTCCAGTACACTGTTAATGAAAGTATTGCATATTTCAACAAAACATTTGAGGTTAAGTTGGTCTGTGCTGACATACTGGTTTTGTGTCTTTGCAAATTCCAAAACGCCAGTACCAAATTTGAAAGGTATTGAAGTGTTTCTGATTTCGGACATTTCTTGCATGTATTCAGCACATAGATCTCTTTGGTGATGTTGGAGATCATCTTTTCAAAGAGTCACATTTCTTATTGTACTTGAGTAAGTTCTGCAGTCATCAAAATTCGGAAACATCTTGTGAATAAAGGAATGTACATGAAGATTTATGCAGTAAATAGTGTCACAGTTACTGTTATTACTGTCACAGAATATATGAAGGCATAGGAGATGATAATTCAGAATATGAGCAGTTAGATGATCCTTGAAGCATAGAATCT